GGTTTATGATCAGGAATGCCCTTATTTATAAAGCTGCTAATCCCTGAGCCTTGAAGGGAAGAGGTAAACACCAGCTGCCAGTCTTTCCATTGTACAACATGAAGGCCCAGACAATGAGAACATTTTTTTATGGATTGGTTCCACTGGTGCTTTGAAGTCAGGAAGCACCTTGCCAGCAAGGGACTGCCTTTCAAAGTTTTTTTTTTTGATATTGGGCAATGCTGCTGGCCAACCAGAACCCCATGAATTCAACACAGAAGGCACTGAAATAAACTACTTGGCCCCATATACAACATCTGTAATTCAGTCTCTAGATCAAGGGGTCATAAGGACCTTTTAGGCTCATTACATGTGGTATTCTACAGAAAGGATTGTCAACACTGTGGAAGAGAAGACCAATGGAGGGAACATCATTCAAGTTTAGAGTGATTACATTGTTGAAGATGCTATCATTGTTATAGAAAAACCCATGAAAGTCATCAAGCCTGAAACAATAAACTCCTGCTGGAGAAAAGTGTGTTCAGATGTTGTACAAAACTGCACAGAATTTACAACAGAACTAATAAAAAAATCACAAAATAGATCCGGGATATGGCAAAAATATGGGGGGTGCAGGTTGAAGATATCAAGATATGTGTCTTGGAGAAATTCAAGAGCTAGCAGACTGCACCATAGGAATTAGCAGATGACATGATGAAGATGACTGCTTCTGAACCCGTGTCAAACGAGGAAGAAGGAGACATAGAAGAAGCAGAGCCAGAAAACAAATTGACGTTAGACAATTGGCAGAAGGGTTCTGATTATTCAAGACTGGTTTTAACCTCTTTTATGAGACGAACTTTTCTATGATACGAGCACTGAAACAAAAGTAAATGGTGGAAGAAGGGTTAGTACTGTATAGAAATATTTTTAGATAAATGAAAAAGCAAAAAAGTCAGACAGACATTTCTATGTGTTTCTTTAAAGTTACACCAAGTATGCCTGCCTCCCTGCTCCCGTTCCACTTCCTCCACCTCTTTTGCTTTTGCCATCCCTGAGACAGCAAGACCAACCCCTCCTCTTCCTCCTCCTCCTTAGTTTGCTCAACATGAAGATGGCAAGAATGAAGACGTTTATTATGATCCACTTCCACTTAATGAATAGTAAATATATTTTCTCTTCCTTACGATTTTCATAGTTACATTGTCTTTTCTCCAGCTTACTTCATTATAAAATATAGTATGTATATAATGTATATATATATATATCTCACATAAAATATGTGTTAATTGATTGATCATGTTATCAATATGGCTTCAGGTGAACTGTAGGCTATTAGCAGTTTAATTTTGGAGGAGTCTAATGTTATACACAGGTTTTTAACTTCGTTGGGGGCGGTCAGTGCTCCTAACATTACCCTGCATTGTTCAACTGTAAATCTTTCACTGTCAACTGTAAATCAATGCTATATGGCAGCGGCACTGTTCTATACTTAGCATAAAGCAAGCTGCGATTCATATATGTTGACTTAATAATAAAGAATGAATGCTTCCTATTATGTGACTATCTCACATTTTTCTTTGAGCTGATCTCTAGTTATTCTAGCCCTCCCAATAAATTGCCTGTAGTCCAGACCATATCTGTTTCTGTTGAGATTGTCAAATCATTCAGCCATTCTTATGATAAAACTGCTGACCCTTATATCACGCATTCTAATTTCAGCCACTGCAACTAGACAAAAAATATAAGGAAAAGGAAATCATTCTTTTAATAAATTCCTTTTTTTGAGCAAAGCAATCTGAATTATGGCAGTAAAATCTGCCGTCTTACTGAACCTGTGCGCACATTTCCAACAGTATAAAGAAAATGAGAACTCCATAGGTCAGATCTTTACTATGAGTCACTCACAGTAAACAGTACTCAAGGCACCAGGAAGTATCCCTTCAACAAGAGTGTAGCTGTCGTGACAACACTGGCATGGACCATTTATTTATTTATTTACTTTTATTTTTATTGAACAGTGTTTTCCTCCTTTCTGACTCTCATTACTTTTCTTAGAGTAGCACGTACCTTTGGTGTGAGTGAGGGAAAAAAACCTCTCTCTGGTACTTTCCACCTGCTGTGGGATGCATTGCTCATCCAAGTTCCCTGGGCAGAAGACACAGTTGACAGGAACGCCTTAGTTTTATTTAACTTCCGTAGTGTCCAGAATGTGGTTGGTTCTTTGGTCTCTCACCTTCAGTGTGAAATCTTTAAATCCTAACACATGATTTTAGAAACATGAGGAATGATGCTATTATTACTTCTAGAAAGGCTTCGATGCATTAAATATTAGGATGAAGTTTTACTGAGCGTTCACAGACACACTAATGACAGAATAGAACATTCCACGCATCCCAGAGAAAGAATTCCTTGTTGTATAGTTGGGTGCAAGTATAACATGAACTACACCTCGAGAGCATTCTGAAGTCAGAGCTTCCATCACAGGGAGCTCTAACCCTGTGTTCAGGAATCCTGCAAACTCTACCTCAACTTGAGCAGTCTGTGTCGACAGCCTCTTGATCACAGCACCCTGCTGTGCCTAATCACGAAGGCCCCTTTCACAGAAAGAGTTTCTTCCCTCCTATCAGGGTGTGACTTGAAGGTAGCCTTCCCATTTGGGCAAGGCCATCACACTATTGCCACCATTAACATCCCTGAAGAGACCTGTTGGTTGACCTCAACCATGTTTCATTCATTTTAATAGATGTTATCACTTAGCCACTTCCATTTCAAGAGTTTGAGCTTTGAAGTGTTAACACTTTGAACTTTTAAGTGTTATGTTTATTGATATGACATTATTTTTGTCACTAGGGCATTTAGAGACTAAATGTTTTCATTTAGTCACTTCCATTTTATGAGTTTTAACTGTTATCGTTAACTGTTAGATAGTGACACTCTTTTGTCACTAGGATAGGACTTCTTATGGGACATTAGGTGAGTGACTTAACTACTTGGACCTTGGTCTCCCTTTCTGCAAATTGCAAACAATTGGCCTATTCAATCTCCTTGGTCTATTCCAGTGCTAAATGTTTTTTAATTAAAACTAAAGTAGATAAATTAGGCATTTTCACATTTTCTTTTCTTTCTTTTCTTTTGTTAGTCCTATAGAAATTTGTGGGAGAATAGAGGAGGATATTAACTTTCCTGTTTGATGCCCAGGTGATTTCTGTGCTCAGATAGGGTTTGAGAATTCACTTGCACAAAGGGGACGGGTAGTTTCCCCTGGCCAGCCAGCCTACAAGCCAGCTGCTAAAGATACCAGCCTGCTGCTTCCTCTAATTTAGAAAGTAAGATTAACGTCCTGGGCACCTTCTGGTAGTCTACACTGAATGTTGTTCTGTGCTTTATAGATGACAGGCAGAGTGATGTTTTAAAAGGTAATTTTTTTCTTGTCAGTCTCATGTCTCTCATGCTTCCCACATTTCTCTTGCTTAATTACTCATTTCTTTCCTTCCTTCCTTCCTTCCTTCCTTCCTTCCTCTCTCCCTCCCTCCCTCCCCCTCTCTCTTCCTCCCTCCCTCCCTCTCTCCCTTTCTCTTTCTTTCTTTATCATTTTCCCTTTCTTTTTCTTTCTTCTTTCTTTCTTTCTTTCTTTCTTTCTTTCTTTCTTTCTTTCTTTCTTTCTTTCTTTCTTTCTTCTTTTTCTTTCTTTCTTTTTTCTTTCTTTCTTTCTTTCTTTTTCTTTCTTTCTTTCTTTTCTTTCTTTCTTTCTCTCTCTCTTTCTTTCTTTCTCTCTCTCTTTCTTTCTCTCTCTCTCTTTCTCTCTCTCTTTCTTTCTTTCTTTCTTTTTTCTTTCTTTCTTCTTTCTCTTTCTTTTATTTCTTGAAAACGCTAAGCTCTCTCTTGCCTTGGAGGAGCACATTTTCCTCTGCCTGAATTACTCTCTTGTGTCTCCTCCCCAGTTTCCTCTCTTCTTTCCTCAGTTTCTCATACAGCTAGCCCCTTCCCATTTCTAATGTCTCTACTTAAATGTTGACATGGTTTGGCTCCGTGTTCCCAACCAAATCTCATCTCAAATTGTGATCCCCTACACCTTGAGGGAGGAACCTGATGGGAGGCGATTGGATCATGGGAGTGGATTCCCCTGTGCTGTTCTTATGATAGTGAATGAGTTCTCACAAGATCTGATGGTTTAAAAAGAGTGGCACTTCCCCCTTCGCTCACTTTCCTGCCACCATGCAACATGTGCCTTGCTTCACCTTCGGCTTCTGCCATGATTGTAAGTTTCCTGAGGCCTCCTTAGCTATGCAGAATCGTGAGTCAATTAAACTGCTTTACTTTATAAGTTACCCAATCTCAGGTAGTTATTTAAAGCAATGTGAAACGGACTAATACAAATATCATTTTTCGGCCGGGCGCGGTGGCTCACACCTGTAATCCCAGCACTTTGGGAGGCCGAGGCGGGTGGATCACGAGGCCAAGAGATCGAGACCATCCTGGTCAACACGGTGAAACCCTGTCTCTACTAAAAATACAAAAAATTAGTTGGGCATGGTGGCGCGTGCCTGTAATCCCAGCTACTCAAGAGGCTGAGGCAGGAGAATTGCCTGAACCCAGGAGGCGGAGGTTGCGGTGAGCCAAGATCGCGCCATTGCACTCCAGCCTGGGTAACATGAGTGAAACTCCGTCTCAAAAAAAAAAATAAAATAAAATTAAAAAAAAATCATTTTTCAAAGGAACCCTCCTGACCACTCAATTGAAAGTAAGTGGTTCCTATAAATCCCTGTCATAGAGCTTTGTGAATTGCTAACATATCTTTAATTGCAATTTGTAAATTTTTATTTTTTGTTTGTTTTATTTATCATCTGCTTTCCCATGAAACTTTAAGCTCTGTGAGGAAAAAGATCATGTATTATTTATTTGCCAATACATATCTAGTGCTTAGCACATAACACCTGCTGTATAAATATTTGTTGAATGAAAGACTATCATTAATGCCTCTTCAACAATGTTATATGTACTTACTGTTGCTTTTTTAGATTTCCTGTGCTTCATCAGCTAGAGAAATGAAATCCATTACCAGGATAAAAAGAATATTTTATGGGGTAAGAATTCTAAATCCTTATGTTAAAACACTTTGTTTTTTAAAGTATGGACAGCTTCTCTTACATCTGTACTTTATCTGCAGATTGGAGAAAAAGGAATCTACAAAGCCATCAGTGAACTGGATATTCTTCTTTCCTGGATTAAAAAATTCTTGGAGAGCAGTCAGTAAACAAAAGCCAAGTACATTGATTTTATAGTTATTGAGAACTGCTAGAAATATGTTTATACCAGTCTATTTTTTAAAAAACTTTTTAACATAATAGTGACAGCATGTTAGGTGATTCAGAATAGACAAGAAGGATTTGGTGTAATAAAGTTTTGGATATAAGTGCCACTAATTTGCACATTTTCTGTGTTTTCAAATAATGTTTCCATTTTGAACATGTTTTATTATTCACAAATACATTGTGTCAATTTAATTTAAATTACATTAAATTAAATTAAACATTAACTCATTTAATATTTGAATTAACTGAATTAACTCATTTAATATTTGTGTGTGTGTGGGTGTGTTGGGGGATAGAGGGGAATGACAGATTTCTGGAATGCAATATAATGTTGTTGAGACCTAAATAGATGTTATGTATATGATTATCTACTTCAGGGTTTGAAAATTATTCATTATGCCAAGTGTGAACTTAGCACTTAACAAATGTTGAATTTAATGAAATAAATTGTGTTTCTTTCTCCTGGGTGTCCTTTTCATGATAGCATGCTAGAATTTCTTGGTATGCAAGGGGTACCTACCAGATCACAGCAAATAAGATACACAAAGTACCTAACTGCTTGGAATGATTTACCAGGAATGCCTTTGACAGGAAACCGAAGCCATGAAGACCACAAGTAACCAAGATCAAATGATGCTGAGTCTTGATAACAAGGTGCTGTGCAATTAGAAAAGTTCATAGAAGCCAAATAAAAGTCTAAATGCAGCTCAAATTTCACCACAGTCAACTTTTTGTAATGTCTAAAAAAGCCATCTACATACTCATAAAGGAGTAATATGGCCTAAAAATTGTTCTGCATTAAAGGAACTCTGCTCTGTGCTCTTGGCATACAGCACAGAAAACAGTAGTCATTTCTGATGGGACGTCCTGGGCCACCAGCCAGTTCACTCCCACAAGGCTTTCATTGTGCCCCTGCTGCACACCGACAGTTCTGGGACTTGGCACCTTTTGTGTTAATAGGTGGGACTTCCCCAAGGTCTTCATGGACTATGTCCCTGGCAGCTTTTCCCTTCATTGCTTTCCCACCATCTAGTTCTCTGTTTCAGTCATGTGGTCATTAGGTTGTTCACTAAGAACTGCCCTCTCTTCACTGATTTCATATTCCAAAGTGATCCCTTTCTGCTTTTTCCCCATCAACACACTATGGTCCCATGTCTGATCTCTTCTGGAGATCTCATTCCTACACAAGTACACAGGACAGGAAAGGTGTGGGGAACTGCAGGGCATTGGTGAGGAGGAGACTGGAGGACTCTCTTCATCTTGCTCTTTACCCAGAACTTCCCAGGCAGGCTCCTGGGCCATCAGCAGCAGGGCAGGCTTCTTTCCTGAGAAACATTTGGAAGAGCTGGAATCTGGGGGATCAGGAACCTGTTCCCTGACTTTGCCGAGGACAGGGAAGAGTGCACCAACAGCCTTTCCTTGATCCACGTTCAGGGCCCTCAGCATTTTCCAGGATTAGGCACCACCGACAGTTGAGTTGAACTGTGCTGGACTTCCATAGAGCCCAGAATAGTCCCCAGTCTTGGTCACAAACCATTCTTAAGCTGTCCCCATTACTTGGTGTCTCTAGACATGAGAAGGGCTGATAAACGTTCATTTGCCAGTCAGCAAAGAAGTATTTATTACGGGGGCTTTAGATTCTTAGGAGTGAAATTTCGTTTGTCTCCCCAATATTTCTGGGTGATTGAATTTAATGTTTGTTTGATTATTTCCCAAGTTCTTTGATTTTCCAGAACAGTCAAGAGGTCGCTAAACTTAGGAGCAAAAGAACAATTTAAAAGTCATCATTGAGTGAAAAATCAATATCTAAGTGCTGATGTCTATTCAGAAACTTCTCAAATGCCAGGGGCAATGGCACAGTTTTCACGTGCCTGAGTAGGGATTGGTATGTTGAAAGGGCAGCAAAAGAGGAAGATGCATTCATGTGCACAGTGGGGATACCGTGTCTTGGTGGGGTTGCTGTGGGCTCAGGGTTGAAGTCCTCTGATTTAAATGTCCCTCTCTGGATTTTATCAGAACCAGGGATGATGACATGTCGGGAAATGGCTGCACATCCTGAACCCGCATGAAGCGCTGTATAAACCCTGAACCCACTTAGCACTTGTAGGAGGTGATCCCTTTTGGTAGATCCCTCTTGGATGATACAAGGAGACTACATGTCCTATGAAGATGTATTGTCTGGTTCTCTCTTGCTCCCTCTCTCTGTCACGTGAGGACACAGAGAAAAGACAAAAACCTACAAAAAAAATGTAAGAAGATATTTTTGTCCATCAACCATATATCAGCTCTAGCACAGGGTAGAGCAGAAGGAGGTGGAGGACCAGTGGGTAGCATGGAGTGTTGCAAAGAACCCTTGGCAAGGTTGAGAGAACAGGCCAGTCCCCATTTCCTTCAGGTCTCTGTGGCATCATCGGTGGGTCACCTACACAAAACAGTGACACCACAGCCCCCCACCAACCCCTGCTCACTTTTCTCTAAACCACTCCCCTCCTGCTGGCATGCTTGTATGTTTACCAACGGTCTCTCCTTGATCAGAATATTGACTCTGGAGCCCCGGGCTTTGGTCTGTGTTGTTCTCTCCAGGGCCCGCAGTACCTAGAACAGGCCCCGAACCTTGAGGAATGGAGTATAACAGAGCTTCCTGACTTTTAGTTCTCCAAAAGCACTTATACTCTTATTTGTGCAACAATGAATTCAAATTAACACATTAATTTATTTGGCCCAAGTAAAGGGTAAATAAATACATTATTCTAAAAATAGATAATTTACACAAATACATTCCTAGCCAAAACACGTTTATATGCGTACTTATAGAATCATCTTGCAAACCCTGGGTAGAACCTGTCTCACATATTGGGAAACACTGCATTATAATGAATTTCCACTGCCTCACTCTGCCTCAAACTTAGAAATACATGAAATTAGAACCAGATAATTTTAACCTACCCACAGATACCAGTTTAGAAAAAGTCAAGCTACGATGTTCAGGTTTCAAAATGGTTTCAGAGCTCCCGTCACTTTTTCCGGAGATGGAGGGACGAGAGTACACTCACCCAGTCAGTCATTCCATGGTTCTGATGACTGTGGCTGTTGACGGAGGGTGCCAGGATAGTGGCATGACTGCCATCTTTCTCCCTCAGCCCTGGTCAAGAGGCCATGGTGGACGCAGCTCCGAGGGAGGGAAGCTGCAGGAGTTAGTGAGGCTTGTGGATTGTTCAGATGCACACACAGGGGTAGGAACAAAAAGTGAAAGCTCAGTCAGGCTGAGCTGGAGTAGCAGCAGAAAATCTCAAATACAGGCCGGGCTTGGTGGTTTATGCCTATAATCCCAGCACTTTGGGAGGCCGAGGTGGGCCGATCACCCGAGGTCAGGAGTTTGAGATCAGCCTGGCCAACACAGTGAAACTAAAAATACAAAACTTAGCTGGGCTTGGTGGCATGCACCTGCAATCCCAGCTACTTGGGACTGAGGCAGGAGAATCACTTGAACCCGGGAGGTGGAGGTTGCAGTGAGCCAAGATCACACCACTGCACTCAAACCTGGGCGACACTGAGACTCTGTCTCAAAAACAAAACAAAACAAAAAAATAACAACAAAAAACACACTCAAAAGAAGATGCAGAACTGTGTTGTGAATTACTGTTCATCATGATCATTCATAAGAATGGATGTCCTTCACTATAGCTGTGAGTGAGTTACGAACTCAAATGAATACCAATAGATTCTATAAATATTTATTGAATGTTCTGCTAGTCCCACAGTCATGGCTGAGTTGTAATGATAAATAAAACTCATCGTTTCTCCCTAGCAATTTAGAAACTGGGAAGGAAGATATGTATGAAGACAAACAATTAGCGCAATGCAAGTGATCATGGAGATATGTACAAAGTGCAGTGAGGTGGAGGTCCACACTTTGCAGAGGAGCTGAGGCTTGAGATAGCATGCTTTAAGATTCAGCTCAGGTGTCACCTCTTCCAGCAACCCTTCCTTGATCCCCTCCACTCCTAGGCTGGTTTAGATGCACCTTGCAAAGCACATTATCAGAATAGCACTATCACATTGTATCGTAATTTTGTTTGCTGCTTTTCAGAAGCAGGATTGGGGGATCAGAAGATATGCTAAATACTGCCAAAGCACTTTCATAACTATTTCATTGCTAATTGTCCCCCACATTCTTTCTTGCTAAAACTGGATATTATAAATATTTGAATATTTTTGCCAGTCTGGTGGCTGCAAATTATATTGCATTGTTTTAGTTTGCATTCCCCTTAAAGCTTGTTAAATTGATCATTCTTTCATATGTAGATTCTATTTACATTTTCTTTTTTGAGATATTCCCTAAAATGTCGTATGGGCCATTTATTTAATAAGTTTGAAATCTTACCTGAACCTGATTTCAATGGTACAATTAAAGTAAAATGTAATCATTTCAAGTAATCAATAGCGAGAAACACCCCCTGGAAAGCCACATTGTGCAGTCTCTCTACCACCTTAGCATCTCTCAGGAAGAGCTTGCTATGAGGATGGCTTCTCCCTGCATCCTCCCTAGCCTGGGGAGTGCTCCACATCAGCTCTTGCTGTGTTGGGCATCCAAGGGAGAGGGAGGAACCCACTATGAATGTGAGTATTTGCACCTGCCGTGGGAGGTAGACGTGGAGACTGAGAATCCTTTAGGGTTAGGCAAGCCCCTCCCTTGCCTCTTCAGGACCTGTTCACAGCTTCTCCAAATTCCCCCTGCTTCCCACTCATGCAAAGCAAGAGGGTAGATCATACTATTGATTTGGGATAAGAAATTCTTTTGATACTTTCCCATGAATTAACTGCAATCTTTAACTCCCAGCAGCCTTTAAGGACCAGGGATGTTGCCCTGGTGTCTTCTGGGGCCCACTCTTCCCCTCCATTAAATGCCTTGGTGCATCACTGGTTTTATGTTTTTAAATTCTTAGGAAAAAACACTTCATAATAAAGATAGTTGGTGTAAATAAACTCTTCATAAATCAAGTTAGATAAAAGTATTTAAGAGATGTGGCCATCTTTAAAACTGCAAATCTCTTACCATGGCATTTCACACCTCACTTTTTTGCTCTCCATAACATGTATCCAATTCTAACATACTATACAAACTACTTACATGTTATTTCCATTAAGTATTGTCTGCTTCCTTCTACTGGAATTTAAATTTTGTGAGGGGAGGGATTTTCATATGTTTTGTTCACTGTTGTATGTGTAGTATCTAAACAGTGTCTTTCACAAGTATGTGTTCGATAAACTTCTCTTGAATGAATAAATGAGTGGACTGTGTGTTCAAAGATAAGAGGAAAGAACCAAGAGAACCCCATTGCTAAGGATGCTAAAAATTCCAATGGCTCGTTCCCAACCTCAGCCTTTACGACAGGGTAGGAACTCTTATAAGGGGCAGGTGAAATGGCTCCCAACCATGTGATCACATATCCTTTAAACAGAACTATTTTCAGTGTGGTTGGTTCAAATGAGGCCGTAATGTTTTCTATTTTCCATTTACCTATCTCATTTATGATTTAGTCCTTTTAGATTACATTTAGAGTGGCCTAGACTGAGAAGGTGTATTTGGGGGACTAGACATGGACAGCTGCAAGTGTCAATAACTTTGGCATAATAAGATGATCTTTTGAGACTTTTTTTTGAACTGTTGAGAAAGCATTCTCTTCATAGAAATTAGATCCCTCTGGTACTTTTTAGTTATTTTCAAAATTTGGTAATAATTTCCTGCAAGGTACAATACATAGAGGATGGTAGAGTTGGGAGCCTACTATAGGGTCCTCTAGTAACAATGATTGGTGTGGATTCTGGAATGGGCCTATGACCCAAGAAGTTTCAATCAGAGAGTGGATTCCAGTATTTATAAGTGAATTCTGGAAAACGAGTCTTTCTCTTTTCCATGAACTGTAAGCTTGGAAGAATATTGGTTGGAACTACTGAAGCCATCTTGCCACCATGAAGACAGAGACTGGCTGAGAATCGAGCCAACATGTTAATCACTCAGTTCTGAAAATCCACTCTCCTCTCGTATTCTTTCTACTTCACTTAGATGCTGCTTCTTGATCTTGCAAGTGAGTTTCTTCTGTATCAGAACACTACAAATTGGAGGACTCAGGGCTAGGTCGTGGCTTCTTCTAATCTCTATGTACTCTATTGCTTTTGCTACAGCTAATTCAACCCCATGGCTTCAAATACTATCCATGTGCTGTCTCCAGAGT